CAAGCGGCGCAATCACAGCTGAAAGGAGCTAGCTTAATTTAGGCAGGTGCATACATGCACGCGCACAACCTACCACTCATATCCAGTACCGCTAAGGAAACGAAAATGACGCCCGGAATCTGTAGCCTTTTCACTTCGCTAACTCCAGTGAAAGCAGCTTTAGTTTGCAATTAATAGCCATAAATCAAATACCACTTTTGGCGACTGTTATCTGAAGTAACACCGTTGCTCTTTTCCCTGAAAAACCATCTCGACAGAACAGTAGACCACCATTTGCCTCGTTTCTTTCTCGTGGCGTCCTTAAAAAAAGAAATAACGCTTTGTGCTGTCTATGCGCTCCGTCTCTGAGAGGAGAGGTCCTTTGTCCCGAACATGTATTCTGCGTTTTCATTCAGCGTATACACAGTAAACTACAATTTATGTTTGACTGTGCTTCGGAATCCCTCGAATTTTCTTACGCAAAAGCTTTTTATTCTTAGCCATGGGGTTTCGTAGGCTTCATCTCCTCCACGCCCATAGTAACGATGTGACGAAATGAACCAATAGGACAGAGGCTACACTTGTGACTCGGTGACAACAGAGGTGAGGCAGGAGATGAGGAAAAATTAACCTGTGAATGACTAGGGAGAAATTTGCGTTAAAAAAATTAACCTCTGAATATAGTGTGGGGTTGGATGTGTGATTCAGATCTTATGTCTTATATAAAACTGTCTGGGTTTTCCTATATAACCTATTCAGTTTATTTATAACCCAGATATGAGAATAGAATACCTAAATTTAAAAAAAAAAACATTAAAAGCTTGGTTTTATTTTTCTAGAATGTATGTAGTTTGCCAAATTTATTTTAAATAACATTTTTGACATTGAAATATTTTTTGAATATTACTATAACAAGGGAGTGTGGTGGCTTAGTGCCCTGTGTTGGGTTGGGGGTTCGAATCCCGCCTGCAACCTGTGTGTGCGGAGCTTGGCATGGTCTCGCCGTGCTTCGGAGTTTCCTCCCCCAGTCCAAAGACATGCATTGTAGGCTGAATGGCATTTCCAAATTGTCCCTAGTGTGTGAATGGGTGGGTGATTGTGCCCTGCAATGGGTTGGCACCCCGTCCAGGGTGTCGCCTGCCTTGTGCCCTGAGCTCCCTGGGATAGGCTCCAGGTTCCCCCGTGACCCTGTGTAAGATAAGCATTATGGAAAATGGAGGGATGGATATTACTATAACAATTGATTTGCTACAAGGACAATTTAAAATAATCCAGTTAATTTTAAACACATGTACAAAAACAATTTTGACATTTCATTTCCATTTTTAATGTCTTTAAAAGAAATTTGTTTAATTTATGTAATATATATTGCATTTCATTAAGCAGGGTGCACTTAAATACTATGTAATTTCACTTATACATCAAACAGTACATGCTAACATGCTATACTATGCATGTTAAAATACAATTTAAATAATGAAATAAAACATATTGCAACACTTAAAAATAAATCATGAAGACATTTTGCCACTAAGTTCCTACTTGCTTAGCCCCGCCATTTAATCTCTGTATGGGATCATGATCTTGACATGACACTGCGATCTAAACTACCAGGGATAAAGTTAGTTTTGTACGTAAGTGTGGCTTTACGAACACAGGGCGGTGAGAATTACCTGGATACCTCTCATGGACTTTGGGACCACAAGCAGGACTCTATGTTCTGATTGCTCAGTTTGAGCACTAACTCTCCACAGCTTATTAAAAAACAAATCAACCAAATGTGGGTCATTCTATAATTGTGGGTACAATTAATTTCCAGGGTGATTATTTTTTCCTCAAATGTCCTAATTCACTGATATTAAACTTATAAACACTAATATATAAAATCATTGCTAAGACTGTCAAGGAATTTGACAAGTCAGATGTAGCTAAGACAGTTTAGTCACAATCTATTAAATAAAATTTTCCATATCTTTTAATTTTCCATATATGCGGTCCCCTCTGAAAGTATTGGAACATCGAGGCCAGTTCTTTTGTTTTTTTGCTATACACTGAAGACATTTGGGTTTGAGATCAAAAGATGAATATGAGACAATTGATCAGAATTTCTGCTTTCATTTTCTGATATTTGCATCTAGATCTGTTAAACAACTTAGAACAAACCTTTGTTTGAACCCACTCATTTTTCAAGCAGAGCATGTGACTGACAGGTGTTCTTGTTGCCCAGATGTGCCCTGTTAGATTGATCGTTTAATCAATTAATAGCTCTCAATGTCTGCTCTTGGTTTGAGCCCTGGGTTTCACCACTGAAGACTGCATTCATTGTTAAAAAAGGATACACCAACATAAAGACCAGACAGCTGTCTATTGGAGAAAACCAAGCCATTTTGAAGCTGAGAAAGCTGAGGCAAAATCATACAGAGCCATTTCACAAGCATTGGCCATAGCCAATACAACAATCTGGAATATCGTGAAAAAGAAAGAAACCACTGGTGTACTAACAACCAGACAATGAACCGGTTGGCCAAGGAAAACAACAGCAGTTTATGACAGAAACATTGTGAGAGCTGTAAAGAAAAACCCAAAAACAGCAGTCAGTGTCATCACCAACAACCTAAATAGGGCAGGGGTGAAGGTATCACAATCCAACTTCAAAGAAGACTTTGAGAGCAGAAATATAGAGGCCATACCACAAGATGCAAACCACTGGAAAGGCCTGGAAAGGCCAAAGTGTGGAGAAAGAAAAGATCTGCTCATGATCCAAAACATACAAGCTCATTGGTCAAGCACAGTGGAGGAAGTGTCATGGCTTGGGCTGCATGGCTGCTTCTGGAATGGGCTCGTAATCTTTATTTGTTGATGTAACTCATGATGGTAGCAGCAGAATGAATTCACAAGTCTACAGAAACAGTCTGTCTGCCAATTTACAGAGAATTGCATCCAGTCTAATTGGGAGGAACTTCATCATGCAGCAAGACAATGACCCAAAACACTAGGCCAGTCTATTTAGACATCTCATGTATGCACAACATGGGGTGTCAATGAAATTGGTA